ACCTGGCTATTCTTTATTTGTCCTTTCCTATTGTAAGGGCATGGAGCACAACTGAAGTGGCCAAACATGATCAGATCATCTACACGTTATGATCCCAGCTGATGTTACATCGGAACAAATCAGATTTCAGCCAAAGGGCCTGTTTCAGCGCTATATGACTCCATGAAATCTGGCTTGACAGCTCATATTTCTTTTTTCTTATTTAACGTGATGGTTTTTCATTAGAGCATAAGTATATAAAGCTACACATTTGGTTTTAATAAAACAGAATTTTATTACACAAAGAAAATAAAAGGAACCAAGCCAGACTATTTAAATAGTTTGTAAGATTTCAAAACACGACAAAACAAATTCCCATTTACTCCCCCGCCACCATCTCTTTACAGGTGCTCAAAAACCAGAGAACTTTTCCTTCCCTTTCGAACCTGTCTGTTTGACATTACTATTTCCTTTCAGTTTCGGACAGAAGAGCTGTAAAGCCTTTTCTGCAAGCAGTCACACAACTGACATTTAGACTTTGTTACTTCAGGGTTCCAACCAAATACTCCTGGAGTGTGGAAGGTTCCCAACCGGTATTCTTTCATGGAGGTAATATATTTTCCTACCTGAGCCAGCTCTTTTTGTGTCCTAGAGATATTTCTGGCACCAGACTTCAGTTGGCATTCCTTCCAAGTGCCCAAAACTTCCAAATAGAGTCATACAGCACAGAAACAGATCCTTCGGTCCAACCAGTCCATGTCAAACACAATCCCAAACTAAACTAGTCTCATCTGCCTGGTCCTGGCCCATATCCCTCCAAACCTTTCCTATTCATGTACTTATTCAAATGTCTTTTAAATGTTATAATTGCACCCACATCCACCACTTCCGCAGGAAGTACATTTCACATTTCAAAAAGCCTTGAAATCATCTGCTCCCTGACATATACTAGTTTAAAGTTATGGTTCAGGAAACACTAACCAAACTCTATGCAAAAATGTTAATACATCTAAATAAACACCTTTCATCTCAGTTTCCCCCACCTCCGCCCAAAGAATAACAGAGGTGTTTCTTAGAAGAATTTTCATTTCCCATCAGAAATAGGGTTAAAATGATTGGTCACATTAATAGTAGTAATATATTGACATTAAACATACAATGAGTTTCATGGGATCCGTATTTTACGCAAGTGCACATTTAGCAAACAGTGCTGTGATACAAATGTGTTCTTGTTAAAGTGACACTTCAATGTTTTACTTTCGAGGCACATGAAGTTTTTAAATTACATGGCAGGAAGATTAAGCTCAACGGAAAGAACCATAAATTCTTGCCTCAAAATCATAAGATGTAAATAACAGTTTCTTCCACATGATTGATGTATATTTCAAAATTATGTAGCATCAACAGTAGGCTCAATTTCTCTTCTACAACCATCAAATATTTCTACTGACATGTGGTTAGTTTCTTTGACTCTTGACCTTGTCATCCTGCAGTAAGGTAGTACCCACACCAATGTTGCTTCTCATAATTCAGTGCTGCTAAAACTGGGACAGTTATCAGCAAAATTTTCAAGTTGTTAAAGGCACTTGACCTTGCATCCATTCAAATTTTCTGCTTTTAACAAAGGCGTTACGACGGTGCTGAAGCTTGAAATAAATTTCCAATCAAACCCACTTATGTCAACGTAATGCAAAACGTAGCATTTGAAGCTGGGCATGGAAAAATTGGGAAACGGCCTTTACTATCTCTTCCTTTGGAGCTACCTAATCCTGTCCCACTGTGTGGGCCACAAGTCTTTTTCACCCCTTTTGGTCACATAGCCAGATATGGAACTAAATTGGCTCTTTGTAGCCAAACGATTTAGTCAAGTGATGTAAACGTTCTTTACTGGTTTGACTGCATACAACCAAATCAATGTCAACCACACAGTTACATAGTCCTCCAATTACTTTAGTGGTTCATCATTGAAATGTTGCTGGTGCTTTTTCATTCTAAACAGCATGATTTTGCATTGATAAAGTTCATTGTGTTTAAAAAAAAAGCTGATATTTCTTTGGCTCCATCAATATCCTTTTAGCAAGTCAAAGTTGGTGATGAATAACACATGCCCAATTCTTTTAATGCAATCCTCCAATCATGGAATAGGATACAAGTCCACTTTTGGTTACATAGACATTGCAATAATCAATACAGAATCTTTGTGACCCATCTGGTTTCAGGACAGTCTGCTGGAAGATTTATTCTCCACTTGTTCTGAGGTTTTTGTTTCACTCCTTATTTCGTTCACTACCATGAATACACTTTCTCTGTATCATCCCTGTCACCACACATATTTAACATACTAACATGACATTCTCACTGATTCTCACCCAAGTCTGGAGTACTCACTGCATAATTTACATCAAGGCTCTTTTTGGTTCGATAACATCCAGTGAACAAGTAGCGATACCAACACTTTCCAGCAACAAAATTCCAAACTTTGGCCTTTTTAATCTGCTATAGTTTATATTGTTTGTTGAGCACTCTTCAAATCCTTCTTAGTCAACTCTCAAGCTTAGTGTTTAGTTTTTGTCAAACTCAAAAAAGTGGGAAATAAAGCCTCCAAGCTTAAGTTTTTCCATTTTTAAAAAAATGAATTTAACTAGTCGCCTTAAACCCATATATCAGTTCCGAAGGACTGAATCCTACAGATTGATAAGGAACACCCCCAGTCACAAACCATTATGAGGGAATTCCTTTATTGCAATCGTTGGGCCATTCCTGACAATATGTTTTACCCATGGTTTTCAAAGTTTAATGTCATCTTTTCAACACAGCTTGACATTGAGCATAAAGTAATTGACGTCATCTTATCCCTTAGACTAGTCATAACTTCTTTGAATGCTTGTGACATAAAATTTGAACCTTGAGTTGATTTTACTCTTTTTTTAAAAAAAAGGATACAGATTAATCAAACTCTTTTAAAGTCATGACACTGGAAGCAGACAGTTAATATTTAAACCCTTCCACAAAAATAAACCATATACCACTAATTCAAAATCTAAACTCTTATTTAAAAAGATATATACCACACTTAAAGCTTTCATCATTTATGCTGCAAATACATGGATTATTTTAAACAACATTAACTTTTAGCATTATAATTGGGGACCATAAAAGACAGCATGACAGAAAATAAATATTAAAACATTGTTAAGCATGCAAGATTATCAAAAGGACAACTTTACATTTTTCTTATTAGCAATGGATTGTTACCAGCAGAAATGAGGGGGCCAGGAAAATTAATAGTGACTGTAAAATCAAATCAGTAAGTAGATCAATGATACATGAACTAAGAAACTAAGTTCTCTCAGTTGTGAAGGTAGGGGATGATGATTTAAAGGGGCTTCAACCAACACCCCACTCCCAAAAAAAGCACCCAATCGCTAATCTGTAGAGCTTGAAGCTTTTAATATATTGTGACCACACAAGTATTGCTCCAAGTAATTCAACACATCTCCATTTCTGTCACACCATTCCCAGGATTTTGTGGTCATTAAAACAGTCAGGGCTGAAAATACTTCAGTTGCGAAGAGCTGGGATTGGAAACAAAAAGGGTGGTGATAAAACCCTAGCAAGAATTGCTAATACCATCAGCTGTCAAGGTCCAATCTTCTGAAATTTCCTCCCAAAACCCATCCTGAAGAATGGAAAGAGGGGTAGAGAAGATGTTCCTTGAAATCCTCTCTGATCAAGTTTCACAGTACTTGCAGCTTTTTACAACATTCAAAGCACAAGTTCTCATTGTAAGATGCAACAGCTTTGGATATCCGGTGTTACTGGCATACACGCAATGATCTTGCAGCCAAATTGGGCATAGTGACCATTTACGAGTAAATGTAACCCGAGACTCAATTGTTACAGTGCAGAAGCTCTTCAAATGAGCATTATCTAGTGCGAAACTCCTGCTTTATTTCTCCCAGACACTTTCACATTATGGATAGAAATAATCTAATCATCCAATGCTTTCTTGAATACCCCCATGTGAACATGCCTCTAAAACATTGAGGTATGCATTCCATATCCCAACTACTGAAAGTGAGAGCAAGTTTTTATTTCTCACATCATCCATGCTTCTTTTACACATCGTTTTTGATCCTAAATCAATGATTTAGCACTGCTATCCAAGAATTATTTATCTAGTTCTCAAGTTTGCTTGTTCTTCTCAGATTCTTCAAATGTTGTACAGTGTCTACACAGTCAATTTGCATCAAGTTTTCCTAGAATGACAGTGTGATTCCACCTACACCAGCAGTTCAGGAACAGAGAGAAAATAATGGAAATAGATAGCAATTCTGACCAGTCTCTCACACCATCTAGTGGCTGGTTACTGAGAAAGTGTCTTACAGCAAATAACATACACGCGCGCGCGCGCGCACACACACACACCACAGGAATTGAATAGGCACAGAAATGCCTGACAGAGGAAGCGATGATAAAGACAGTTAAAAACGTCTTGATGCCACGAGCTCTCAGTTACAGCCCGTTAAAAAACAAATTCTGAGGCTTCTTCTGTTGCATCACAAGTATTGCAACATGTAATACAGTACATCTTCATTTCGGTCACACCACTCCCAGGATTTTGTGGTCATTAAAACATGCTCGAAATGCGAAGAGCTGGAATCGGAAACAAAATAGGTGGTGATAAACCCTGGCTAGAATCGCTAATACCATCAGCCGTCAAAGTCCAAAGCTCTGAAACTCATCCGATACACGTCTGGATTTTTCAATCATAGCATAACTGAGTCCAAGACCAAGATATGCATGCCTCATCAATTTTATTCCACTTTGTACTCAGTAACTGCATCAAGTAGTCCTGAATTAAATGGATTAGAGATACACAGTTAATTGGAGAAAAACTCCATAGATATAGTAATTCCGGTTCCAAGAACTGTTCTCAAAGATTTGCCCATGAGCCTACCCAGAATGGACGCGCTTAATATTCCAATTAAGTCATTTAAATAGAAAAAGTGAGTCACATCTCATAACAAAAAAAAATTTATTCAAAGTTTCAATAATACATACTGAACAGGTTATCTACAAATCTATGGTCAGGTATCATTTTCTTCCTGCTAAAAGTTACACTGAATATACAGCACAAGATATATAAAAAGCCAAAAGTTATCAGAACACAATAGAACAGGATTCTTTTTTTAATCTTGACACAATTCTGTACTATATGCAAATACTAGGCAGAGCAGTAGACATAAAACGAATTTAACAGAAGCAGACAAAATATGGCAGCAGGTGTCTTCACCGCACATGGCATGACTTTAGTAGTCAGCAAAACAAATCCAGTACACTTGCAAAAACCTGATCATTAAAAAATTATAAAATCATGGGCAAAAACTGAAAAAGCACTGAATACCAGAGCTAACAATCCAACAATGACCTGTGCGTTGCAACAGTTGTTATCATAGGAGGTTCTAATGAGAATCTTACTGCAAAATATGCATTTGATGAAATCACATCGAATCACACCCACCCCAATCCCTGCAGTCCCGCTAAGGGTCTGAAATAGAGAATAATGAACATCTTGGAGTGATTTATGAAGGTTGTAGTCTAATCATGGAGGTCATGAAGCAATTGGATGCAAAAGTAAACTCTTGCTATCACTTTCAGGCATCTGTTAATTTGTATTATTTTTACAGGTTACATTTTATGTTTTAGTTTTATTTTAAAAATGTTGTTTGAGAATCTACAGTTTTAGCACTGTCACACCCCTATCCCTTTGAGAAATTACTGTAGTATAGCCAAAAATTATAGATTCTATAAACAGTGCAAACATTAAACCTTTATTTTAGTCAGATTGAAAATTGTTTCATTAAATTCTGCTCTGAGATGCAGCAGTTCTTCACAGGTTAAACTGCATATTGTCTACTTCTCACAAACAGTAAACTCCATGGTGTACAGCACACAATCCTTGAAATAGTGTCTTACTGTTTCATGTTCACAGGAAGAGCTTTCTGATATGTACTGAAATAGAGGTGGTACCATATATACTCATTATTACATGATGAACTCTGTACCTACAGCTATTTGGTAAAATTCTTAAGAAACTTAAAGAAAAACCCATAAACCTAGTTTTCCATAATAGCTGCTACATATTTCCCAAATGTATTTGAAGATTTCAGTACAATGTTTTAAAGTTATGCTTTCAACATGTCTTATTATACATGATGGTAGAAACCTATACCAGTTGGATACAATTTCTGGTTGAATTGGTCTTGGCATTACTTGTGAATGCGACCAGATCAGGATACGAAACAGTACGCATATTACAACTGAGGACACTCAAATCATCTACCAATAAACAAAAATTCTGTTCGATTGTGGTTATGAGTAAACACAAAGGAAACAAGGTTGAAACGGGTAAACATGCTGATTCTGTACTAGATGATCAGAATTTCTGGCTCAGCAAAAGACAAAAGCTGGTGCTAGAAAATGGGAACTGAATCCTTCTTGAAAACAAGTTCAAAAGTAGATTCTTTAGCAATCACAATTCTTTTAATAAAAACCAGAAAATGACTTTACTTCATGATCAGTAATCCAATATACAACTACAATATCCCATGCTCATGGAGAAAATATTGGGCAATTGGCAACTTTCCTCCAAAGATGCATTTCAGGCTCATTCAAATCAGAAGCAAGAATGTATTGTATGACAATGTTGCTTAGCAACTCAGCTCCTTGCAGCACTACCTAGAAAACAGCGTTACCACACATGGAGACGACTTGCAGACCTATTTAAAGTCAGCTCCCTATCTAGAGAATTCAGCGCAGGAATAGGACATTCTGCCAAGTCTGCTTCATCATGCAATCTTTGCTGATCATCTTCTTTGGTTACATTTTGCCACTCTATTCCCAAATCTCAATTTTCCACACCCAAAAACCTGTCAATTTGTCTTGAACATGCTCAACAACTGAACATCCCAATTTTTTGGGGCAGAGAATTTCAAAGATTTATGATCCTTTGAGTTGAAACAATTCTCATGGCCCTTATTTTGAAAACGTAATCCCTGGTTCCAGACTCCCAGAAGGGTTACCCTCCTTAGAGCATCTACCCTTTCAAGAACCTTAAGAACTTTATGTTTCAATGAGACCATCTCTCATTCTTTTAAACAAAGAATGAGAACTTAGACCAAGTTCTCTTCTTGTTTAACTTTCATCTCAGTGCCTGCCAGGTGAACAACTACTGAACTCCCTCTAAAGTAAGTATATTCTTCCTAATATTTTATATTAGAAAACATAATCCATTTTAACACACCATTCAAGAACAGTACTTGCAAGTAGCAATGAACAAAAATAAACAGTATGAATGTAGACTCCAATACAACAAGTAGGTTTCACCACTCAGTTCTGAAAACTTTTTCATAATTCCCTATAATCTCAGACCAAGTTTACTGATTCAAAGAAATTGAGAATCATTTTATTCTTTTAACACTAGGGAGAAAAGCATCCCATAAATGAATGGCCAAGTTATAGCAGAAGCAGAAAGTTGAACAGGGAATATGTCAAGATATTATGACTTTGCCAACTAACAGAAGTCCCAAAGGCTTATACTCTCACAAACATGTTTTTAAAAACACTTTCTCACCTCCCATTTTTCAAACGGGAACTTAATTGTGCAAAAGTTATTTCAATGGTTACCCCAACAGTACAAGTACTTTTAGCAGAGATTGGTCAATAGACAGGTGCAAGGCTAAAATGGCTACTGTTCCATATTTACTAATTGGGAAGTTGACAAACGCAAACTTACAGCTCACTGAGACGCATTTCACTTCTGACCATTCTTTAATTAATTCAACAAAGATTGGTCTTTTATTGCCATTTTATCAATATTTTAAAATAATTTTTAAATATTTTAAAAAATAGAATAACGAGCACTGCATTCTGGCTGTCTCTTAGGTCATAGTTGATCCTTACCTCAACTTCATAACCCTGGATATCTTTATCCAACAAATATCTACCAATCTCAGCCTTGAAAGTGTCTCAGGTACATTAGCCATTCCTGGAAAGGTAACTTCAGATTTCTACTATACTCAGATTTCATTCCCAAATGATGTAGCTAGCCCCAACTTTATATCCTATCAGATAAAGTTTTTATTATAGCACTTCATTAGTGTTGCATTTTCATGGAAGGCATTAACAGGGAAAGACAATTTTATCAGTGCAAGTTAGGTTTAATCAATGTTAACTAGTTATAATTAGACAATTTCCATAACTGGAACTATGGGAAGCCCATATTGCACATGCAAATTACATTGCCAGATGTAAAGCCAAACTCCTCCTCCTGAATCTCAAAAATGCACCTCCTTCAGCACATCATTTTGAATAGCCCATAAAATGCTCTTTAGCAGAGGGAAAATAATGTCAGCTTGAATTTCATAAAGGTGCTGTCAACAGTTCAGTTGGCTTGACCTAGTGCCAAATATCTGACAACTTATTTTCCATTTTCCTACAAACTCTTGCATGTTTGCATTTCCTTTCTCAATGTGGGGATTGCAAGCAAGGAGTGATGTATTACTCATCCCTAGATTGCTGAGGGCATTAAAGTCAACCTAGTAAACAGGACTGGAGTAAGCTGAATTTGGAAGGGGTAGGATGTTTTGTTCCGTGAAGAATGTAGGTGTACCAGATGATTTACTGATAATTCAACATCTTTGCTGATGCCAGCCACAAATTAGAACTTTTAATACATTCAAACTGCCAACTTGCGTTGTGAACTCTCAACTTCTAAACTGCTCATCTAGTATAGAATCACTAGGCTACCATGCCCAATAATTCTCCTTACCTTTCCTTAGTTAGCAAAAAGTAGGACTATATCAATTTTACCATGTACCAAAGGCAGTAAATTAGCGATTAGCTGCAAGGTATAACTCATAGGAGCTTTGAAAACTATTCTATCAGGCAGAGGCCAATTCGGGTTGGTTGAGCATAGAGGGATAGATAGCTCTGTACACCTCCTGGCAGCCATCCATTCTCTTTGTTGGAGGAAGAGTGGAGGAAACAAAACAAAGGAACCAAAGAGATACAGTTGAAAATTATGGTGGTGCTGGCTTTCTAGATTTGAACAATAACTTCCATTTACTCTCAGTTTAAAAAGTGTTACAACACAAGACTCAAAACAATTTTAAAATGTGGAAAGAGTCGTGTTAGGTAGGTATAACCTCATGAATACAAATCATCTCTATGATTTCAAGAGATAACATTAGTCAAGAACCACTTCAAAATTGCCAATTCTGCACTGTATTCATCTCACTTCATCGATATTAACTTTTATTACACAAAAATAAAATAAAATCGTAACTGCATTCCCACTGCGTTTATGCTCCAATCTGAACATGTCAAAATGTACCTACAGCAGACACCATCGCGGTTTAGAATGTTGAAATCGTACTGCAATGTTATTGCTGATAGGACTGTGTTTAGGCCTGCAAAACCACACACTAAGTTCTAAAATTTTGTCTTCAGTACATTCATTGATGTACTGAGCTGACACCAAAAACGTTCCATATTGAGGGTGATGAACAAGTAGTTGATACAGGAGGCTTGTCTTGATCAACTTCTAACAGTCTATTTCTGAGTAGCATTGGTGAAGTTGAAGCAGATCAACAGTCCGTGAGTTGCACATTCCACAGGAAAAAGAGTGTTTTTATGTCCTTGAAAGAAAAGCCAAAACTTTATTGGGAAACCTTTTGTAGTAGTCACTGTTACACACAAATCCTTTGTTTTTTTTTCTACTTCTGGATCACTTAGCATCTTTTATTATTTTTAAAACCTCATTCATTCATCAGAGAAGGATAACACCACTAAGACCAGCATTGATTACCCATTCCCAATTGTCCTCAAGGAGATGATAGTGGTTTGCCAGGTCATTTCAGAACGCAAAAATCAACCACATTGAAATAGGTTTGGTGTTACATTAGGCCAGTGCAGTTAAAGATGACTGACTTCCTTCTTTAAAAAGGACCTGAATAAATTGGGTGAGCTGTAATATGGGGCATCTAGTTGCTTCGTGTTCACAATTACTGATTTTGTTTTATTTAAATTCATTTATTTATAAAATAATATTAAAAATAATTATTTAATTATACTTCCAGCTGACATGGTGGGATTTGAATCAATGTCTTCTGATCAATGATGAGGCCTTTAGATCACTCAGCCAGTAATATAATCACTCTGCTACGGTATCATCTACACAAGAAAAAAAATCTATCACAATTAGTTGACAACTGTTCAGAGCTCAATGTTATCATCAGTACTCAATCAACCTGTGCTAAATCACTGCTTGGTAAATGAATCTGCATTGAGATATTATAAGCAAAAAGTTTAATTTGAGGTCTTGACAACAATGCCACATCTAATGAACACCACAAATGGTGCAACAAACTGCAGGCTTCAATTATTTAACTACCATTGTAAACTTTAAAAATATTTCTCATGCCTAGGCAGTATAGAACAGGTTTTTAGCTCCCTATACATACTGGGCTTCTCCTTATATTAAAAGACATCAGAAGACCCAAGGGCGATACTTTTAATTTTGAAAACAAGACAGTATCTTGCACAGTCACAGAAACAGCAAGGTATTCATTTTTTAGTACACATGATTAATTGTAAAGCAAGGTAATAAAGGAAAGCCAAATAAAGCTTAAGTCAATGCATTACAAATATACACTGTGTAATTTTAACAAAAATAGCAAGTTAGAGTAATCTAGATTTACAATAGGTCTGTAATTCTTCAACAATTTTCTAAAGTGTACAATGGGTCATGGTGCTTTGTCTTCCAATGTGGAAAGTGAAAACGTTACTGAGGTAGTAAGCAGCACTGCTGTAGAGTGCAGTTGTAAACAGTTTTTCAACATGCACGTGTGAAAAGCAAATGGTATTGGGAAATGGAACTTATTCTTCTGTTTCATCATTTTTAATTGCACAAAAGATTTGGAGATGCAGCAAAACTTTGTTTAAAATTCTAACAAAAAAAGAGTCAAATATGAAATCTTGTCCATTACTAGTTACTGGCTTTCCCTACACATCAATTCATTTTTTAAACAAATGATTTAAAGCCAAAGCACTTCTATTTCTGTCATACAGGTTGATCAATTTTTTACATTTCCAGTAACAGCAATATTTTAAAGCCAGCAATGTGCTTCAATTTGTAATTCACGACACCTCTCCCACACCCCACCCCCCAAAAAGGATACCTTCCCAAAAAATCAAAATTGATTTGACTTCATGCACCACAATCTGTTAAGGTCCGTATGAAGAATAGGGAAAGGGTTGGGAAGAGGGCCAAAGTTGGAGGAAAACAGTTTGGCCAGAAAACAGATTCAGAATACACTGTAATGCCAATCCAAGTAAAACTGACATAGAAATTGACTAATGTAGTATATTTATCAACATATAGCTACGAAGTGTGGATATTCAAAAAAGCAGTAGAAGGAAAGGAAAGGAAAAGTAAACTGAAGATGTTACTTGTACACTTGAGAGAATGTTCAGTTAGGGAACTTCCATAATGGGAATTTGGATCATTAAAATAGAAGGCAGATCAGTTCTTTGCCAAATGAAATAATAGTTTACAATATTGCATGGTTCATGAATATAGTACAGTTTTGATGTTAGAATTAGATACTGGGACATATCCACATACTGTGGTTTGTAATTAAATTGCAGCCTATTAATACTGTACCTTACTAAAAATATTACCAAAAAGATAAAAACAAAGTAAAAAACCAAACTGCGAAACCAGAATTTCTGCAGCTGTGTTAAGCTCAGTTTTGGAAATGTATAATTAGGAAATTATTCCCAAAATGCTGGACATTTTTAAGATTCAAAAGGAATAAAAAATGTTACATCTGGCTTTAGACCCCACAGATTGGCCATTAAACATCCAACAGTAAAACCCCGGGCAGGTGCTTTTCTTACACTGGTTGGTGTATCATATGCACAGCAGAATAACAAAGGTCAAATAATATTTCAAATGATCACTTATGGAAAGAAAAATGAGCAACTCAATAAAGTGCACAACTCAAAAAAGTCAATATTTTTAATTTTAATAAAATTTCTCTCCTGGAGATAAGTTAAAGATACCTGCTGCCATATATTTGCAGGTAATGGATTCCATTTGGTATCTCACTGAATTGTCCAAGCTTCATGTGTGATCCTAGACCACGGACACAGGCTGGCTACTCCACCACAGAGTATCCTGTCACTATTTCTAAGTCCAATATTGTCACCAATCCCAATCCATGCATTTCTTATTGAAGGTAACTCAATAATAAAAAGAAAAATTCAGGAATGGGAACTCTGCCTATTTCCCCCCCCTCCATTCCACAACACCTTCCTTCCCGGTTTGTGTAGTTCAATTACCCACTAAATCCACAAGATATTTTAAACATATTTATTACCTTACTAGTTTCCATAAGTTTTAGGAGGGCACTGCAAGTGTCACCATGGAGCAAAATAGCAATTGAACACAATGAAAGCATGCATAGAGGGAAAGATCCTCTAGGTAATTTAACCAGAAAGATGAATCCAAATAGACAGTCATGATTCAGTATTTTCAATAACATGAAACACTAAGGGAATTGTACAAACAACTACCTTGGAGAAACCGAAGTGATAACTTTCATTTGCCTTGATATTAATGATTTCAGGAGAGGCAATGCTAAAACTGTGATTACGACATCCTTTCTATAAAGGAAACCAGTTTATAACCTGGATTTAGTGGGCATGTTTCAAGTCCTCCATCCTTACCTTCTGGGTGTTAATGTGACATAATGAATTACTATTCTTTTTGTAGGAATATGGTCTGTTGATTGGATCCAAAATTAATAGTCCATGGAGACTGGACAAGTAGTAACTTCCATACATGTTTGCCAGAAAAACAAGGTCCTAATACTTGCATCTTTTTTAAAAAAAAGTCAAATTCCACATTTGAAGACCAAAATAAAAGGCATAAGACAGTTTAACCTTTCTAAAACACTTCAACTTAAGAGCAAAACCAAATTACTATAATCACAGAAGAAACAGTACGGTAAGAAACAGCACCTGCTTATATTTGATGTTCATTTTCCAGCCCTCATTAATATAGGGGTACGACTTATACACCAGTGCAATGTAACACCAATGTGATTCAAAGCATTCTTTAAAACAATGTCAAAACTTTAGTCTCATTTATATTGTAAATAATTTGTGGGTTTGCAGATTCTGAGAAAAGTGCAGGTATGATGTAATGTGTCAAATACCAGCACATTCCAGGCTTTCAACCTCAGAACTACTCATTTTTCCTGAAGTCTGTCCCTCCCCAGTGTAGTCAGTTCAAATTGTACAAATAGATGCAACATTGAGCAGTAGTGACAATATGCAACCAAATAAGTGAGAGGCAATTCCTCAGCCTTCCACCAACTCAAATGAATTTTGTGTTCCTGTTCTGACAGAATGGGATCCATCTGTAGAATCAATTTGTCTATGTACATATTTATACATTAGCATGTGTGTCCATTTTTCAGCACAAATCACCAACCTATTCCCAGATGGAGGTACAGGAATGACATGGACAAATGTATAACCTACCTTTTAACTAGTCAATGAATCCAGAGTCTGACATTAGACCATAATTTTACATAGTTGGAAAAAAAAAGACTACAAATTTGATTTTTTTTTTCCCCTCTGGAGAAAGACCGCTCAACATCTCCATCTTCTTGGTAGAATTAATTGAAGATCCTGGGTTTAATTCACTTCAGGCATCAGCATACCTACTGGCTAATAAAGTTCTAATTCAGCCGTTGACAGTAGCACTTGCTTCCAATATCCTTCACCATGGAGGAGATGTCGGCAAGACCTGGGACAGAAAAGGCACACTCTCCACAGCCCTAACTATATTCATTGGACTTACAGCAGGTGCTGGAGTGTGGCAAACCTCAGCAGTGTCTGGAAGAATAAAGGATTTTGAAGGAGAAAAGTGGAAAAAAAAACTTCATTAGCAAGTAGTCTTTAAAAATTTAAAGCTTTAACACTACAAAATAAAAAATCTTCAATTTAAAGATGGTGTTTTCTTTCTCCATCCCATATAAATGGAAACAAACAGCTTTTCATCACAGTTCCTGCTTCTAATTTTTGGATTCTGGTAATAATGAAGGCTATTTCTTGGCATTTTCATTTTTAATATTAAAATTAACTGACTAGCAAAGTGTTTGAGATGTGGAAATATATTGATTAGCAGTGTTCATAACCCGGCAGAAAAGCAAGTAAACAGATACTATGTACACAATTCCATTGACAAACATTTCTATCTTTTTGGAAAAAAATAGTTTAGCTCACATTCACTTTTAACAATTTCAATTCCAAATGTCTTGAGGAATTAGTCCCTGCAGAACTATGCATAAAAACAGTTCCATTCAGATACAGTGCACATAACAAGTGGAAATCAATATCACATAGCTGAACAAGAAAGTAATAATTAGCACAAAGTGCCAGTTAATAATAGGGCTCTAAGAATTATTAATCTTATTCGTCAACATGGTTTTACCATTCATAAAGGTAAAAACTGCTTTTGTTATTTAAAACAAAACTGTAATACCAAAACATTATAGTAGGGTGAACAATATGACATATTAATGCTAAACTTTATACAAGAGAGAGGAAACGTGGAATATTGTTCTTTATCAGTAAGAGACAAAAACAAAATTTTCAGGAAATTAAGTAATATTCACATAGATAAAAGAAATTAAGTGTAGTAATAGGTTATGTATTTGCAACCGCAAACCCATTCATGGAGAGGTCTCAGGTCAGGTAATTTTTTTTTTTAGAAACGGTATTGGAGGAAAATGATGATATAGAAGAAAGGTGTTAAACGAAAAAAAAAAGCTCCTTCCCATTTGGGGTAAAGCAAAATAAAAATTGGAAATACCAACAAAGAGGGAGTAGAGAAGGACACTGAAAGCTGGAAGCTGTTCAACATTGGATGGAATCAAAAGAATTACAAGAGCAACTAATATTTGTTCTACATTTTCTCAGCAGCAGTAACTTCATTTGTCCCTTTTAAAATCTCTTTTAAAGAAATTAGCAAAGATGTGAAACTCCCAATAATTTGAGAGAATCGCAGCGGCAGTTAACTTCACAATTGAACTCTATCGGCAGGTACACAGCTGAGTTTATTTTCAGTCACCAGCGGGTGTCCAAAGATATTTACTATGAAAGGTCATAAAGAAAAATTTTCCCGGTGCTGTTGTAAGTACTGTTATGGGGATCTGCAGCTTTTTGAAGCTTATGAAAGTTTGCATATGGCTACTAGTGTGATCGACTCCTGAGTAAGAAATAGTCGGCAGGTATAAAAAGATATAATCTATGACATGTTAAAAATCTTACACCTGCACAAATTTCCTACAACTTTCCCCATAATAAATACGTTCGGGCACATTTATAACAAAATTGCTGATGTAAACTTGTAATGCTCGTATTACACTTTTGGAATTTGTGAATGCAGTGCAAAATTTATTATGGGAACATAAAAATAAGGATACAATGGATGACTGTGAAATGGTGATTGAATTACAGCTGCGTACCATGCTCTAATTACCCACATCATCAACTTCTGATTAACCTGAAGACTTGGTTTGACCACCCCTGTGCAATGTCATGGAGATCGAATAGTTACACAATTTTTAAAAAAGAAGTAGCTGAGTAAAAACTAGTAAATCGGAATTTAGGCAGATTTGTAACTGATCATCAAGTAATGGAAATTGAAATTGTGTCAAAGAAATCGCCATTGAATAATTCAAATAAAAATATAAAAGTAAAATTTAGCAATTAATGAAGTGGGCACAGGGATCTCTCAAACGGAAATGCTGGGCAGATACTATCATAGTTAAGGCAAACAACCAGCAGTTTCCCCCAAATTTATTAAATGCCACTGAAATGCACATTATTAAGCAGTATTAGCAGGAACACTGCCAGCTATAACCCCTCAATCTTTCTATAAGTCCACTCCCCCCACTAAACATAAAGACCACAGGCAACCCAATAGCTTTGCAAACAAAGCTCGCAAGTTTTGAGTCCCAAGGCTGCCTGTCACTCCAACTCACTTGCCTCAGTTTGGTAAGTTTTGTCAGTTCTCAACTGGGCTGCTAGATGAAGCGCCACGCAGTACCAAGGCATTCCATGTCAGGTGGGGTGAGGTGGCAGGAAAGCAGGCAGGATCCAACTCGCCCCATTTCAATTGCGTTTCCTGCTGGCCAATTGTGGAGTGGCATTGACAGTAGCTGTAGTGAAGTCCTCCCCTGAAGGGGGATGCGAGGGAAAAAGTGGCATCCATGGGAGGAAAATCTAAATTAAAAAAGCAAACTCAGGCAGTTGAAACTATTAAAGTTTGTCATAATACTAACAAAATAAGCAGCAAAAGTTTTAATTTGTAATGTCTGCACCTCTAGTCAGTGTATTGAAAATGGAAATTTCGAGCTAGAGTTTAAAAGTTTACTGGACAGCATTTTAGGAAATGTGCACGAAATAAAATGTTCCAATCCTAAAACATACCAATCTTTAACTCATAATAAAGGATTCCTTGCCACATAGTAGTTACCAAATATAAAAACTAGATATCAATAAAAACACATTCTACAGAAAAGTAAAATACATAGATTAGTACACAACATATTCATACCAGGACAACGCTGCCACTCCCAGGACACTTTTGAAGCCTTGCATTAAATAAAAACTTGTCAAAAGTACTCCCAAGTAACTAACGTTTTACAGTCTAAAAGAGTGAATTCAAACAGTGAAAGCACCACATTGTACAAATTTAGCAGTTGGATTGCATTTTCTTTAAAGCCATACGTAGTCCCTAGTTATAAAATATCTCTCCACTGTTTTAGTTTTTACTCCTTCTGAGCTAGCTGCTGATGACAGGGATATTGAAGATACGTTGCCATTTTAACCAACATTAGTTAAGTTTTAATGAACCATCAATAGCAAGTTAAAACTCAGCAACTGAGTACTACTTTCAATAGTTCTAGTAACTTTTGTTCCTCCCCATGAGCTTGGCATTTTGTATGACTGCCGCGTTACAGCATAATTTTAAACTTCAAGAAGAACTTCATCCCATACTTATTCTTCTGCTTCAAAATACTTTAGCAGGCACACAGCCTGAAATTAAAGTAAGACTGCTGCTTTAAAGAGCTGCGGTTTCAAATGTTTTCATTGAACAAACTGCCTGACCACTATTTTAGTTCCTTGCATTAATTAAGCGTTCCAAATCCGATGTAGCAAGGAGACATGCAAAGTAAAGTCACTCCTACTCTGTTCCAATGTTGAAAAAATACTCACTGGCCATCATTGCTGATTTGTGTCAAATTCTGAGCAGTTTCCTACTGCAGCTTAAATTCACAAGAAACTGTGATGAGATTGTATGAAATTGTTTCATGTAGGATCTTTATAGCCAACAGAAAATTAAAGCGTTCCATTCTATCAATCCAGGGTGGATTCCAAATTCAATGCCAGAAATGAAAGCAATGTGAAAATCTAATGCCATATTCAGTCCTATTAGATAAAATATTAAAACAAGACGACAATTTTGACCACAATCTCAACAGCCACACACCCCAGGCTTCGCAGTAGCTTTCAAGTCCAAGACAATTGATTAAGTAGCACTCCTGTGTGGGGCAAACTTTTCCGCTCAGTATTTCTCCATTAGGATAGCAGAGATTGGTAAGACACCACAAGGAAAATGAGAAGAGTAAATGACCATCTCATTGCCCAATGGCATTTTTATGTTCAAACTCAAATATACTGCACCATAACACCGTTGGCCATTCAAATTTTAACACAAATGTATGCTAATAGTGCATAAGAACAGCAGATGGTACTTAAGGAATGTGATATGCGTTTACTTTAAAGATTAGGTATAATTATACAAGTAAAAGGAGTTCCATTCATAATGTGAAAAGCACAAGATCACATCCTTTATAAACAGAAGCATCAAGTTCAAAGATTTGAAGTTGAATCTAACAAAAGTTACCATTTGGGCTATAATTGGTACAAGGGTTAATTTTGGGGGCATTCTACTTGGAAATAAAATGTCACGACTGTAGAAAGCATTGATAAGATGACATTAGGGGTAAGAGTTTATGGTTAAGATAAAAAGAAAGCAGCAAGATTAAGAGGATTTAGTCATTAGGGAGAAATGATTTCCATTCACAGCGAGTGGTAACAAAGAAGTATAATTTGAAGATCTCCTAAGAAAGAATTAAAGGTGAAGATGGGAGAAATTTTAGAACATGAAAATGGTAATAATAGAATTCAAAGCTTTCAAAAAGTGGACAGTAGTTATTGGAAGTTTGAAAATTGACAGGGTAAAAAAGCATTGGTGGCAAAACAGGTAAATGGAGCTAAATGGACGTATTTTCAGAGAACTAAAATAGGGGTGATTGGATGAATGACTTCCCGGACAGCTACAGAATTCCATAATTCCGTGAAACAATGTTAAACTCAATGTTCAGTTGGAAAAGGTTAAGGATGTGTAGGATGATGAAATATCACAATAGGCCCTATTGTCAAGAACTGCAGACAGTATGTCAGCTCCGGTTCTACTCAGAAAGGCTGTGAGAACTGTGGAATAGCCCAGTGTGCAGGATTTAGTCTCACAAATGACAAATTACGACTTGAGCAAGGTACCACACATTGGACAACATTGTGGATTTATTATTCCATTGATATACACTTTGGAGAGTCCCAAATCAGTCACACAGACTCTTTTACAAATCATGGAGATCATGTGCTAGTTTTAATTACTGAGCTCTCTGATATTTGAGTTTTTAAGTGCAGAGAGCAAAGATGGTATTGACATTAATACCAATGCAATCAGAAGAGAAGCCAACATCTGTTTCCTTCTTCAAAATTTCTAACAGAATATGAAAAACACTGGATTAGGAGATGTTTAATTTTTGTTATTGAATCACACATGGGATATGGTTTTCATTGGCATGGCTAAGATATACTGCCAACCTCCAACTGCTCTCATGGTGTTGGTGTGCTACCTTCATGAATTACTGCTATTGTCACAGTGATCTTAATAAAACGGAGTGGCTTGATAAGCTGTTTCAGAGGACAATTAAGGGACAAACTCATTGCTGAGGTTTTGCAGTTACAGACAGGTCAGACCAGGTAAAGATTGTAGTTTCCTTTCCTGATGGGCTTTGCGGAACCGTAAGCGAAATGCTGAAGGCATTAGATAGTTCTTGAGTTTGATACACAAAAGGAACGGACATAAAGACAGTTTCTCCCCAAATGTGAATTTAAATCACTTGGTTGCGACCAACTTTTATTACTCTTCTTTTAATCTTTCTTGAAAAGCATCTTGTCTTTACTGAATGGCCATTTCTCAGTACTTTACTCAAGTGGTCATACTTTGTCAGAGTGTTGTAGCACATTATTCACAAACAGAAGTGTAACACCCAAAGCCAATTACATTCTTACCAAATTTTCAGAGTTATAATCTTATAGCAGATGCTTCAGAGACATTACAGCATCTCTATTTTAAATGCATCTTTAAGAATGGAAAGATTTTCCAGCTCTGGATCTGAAAAATTAACGGTACTTGCAGCTTTGAGCTTTAAGCCAAAATATTCACTGTTAAAGGCCAACCAAGATGACGATATTCAACTGTGTCACTTTAAAATCTCAGCCTCTCAAACTTAAGAAATAACAAAAATTGCTCATCTGGGTCAAAATAATTAATTACTAGCACCAGGCCCAAGGAAGTCTAACATAACCGGTTGTGAAAGAACTTGCATAGCACCTCATTCTAGTTCTCAGAATCCAGGCTGGATTCCAAATTCAATGCCCAGAAATGAAAGCACAGTGTAAAAATCTAATGCCATATTCAGTCCTATCAGACAAAATATTAAAACAAGACAACAATTTTGACCACAATCTCAATAGTCACACTACCCCAGGCTTCGCAGTAGCCTTTAAGTCCAAGACAATTGAATAAGTGCGGGGCAAACTTTTCCTCTCGTATTTCTCAATTAGGATAGCATAAATTGGTAAGACACCACAAGGAAAATGAGAAGAGTAAATGACCATCTCATTGCCCAATGGCATTTTTATGTTCAAATGTACTCTCAAAACTGAGTTATTATTTATACAAAGCTAATTAGTCATTTCACACAGAGCAAGATTCTACCATAGGTAATGGGAGAATCGATCAGTTTGATCAGCAGTACACAAAGCAAGACTTTCACATTTGAATACTGTGATTGAAAACATCATTCGAATGACCGATACATGGAGTAAGGGACTTGGTAATACACCGCACAAAGAACGTTAGTAACACAATACAATTGTTCCCTCAAAAGGATCAACCTAAATTATATGATCAAGTCCTAAAGTGGGAGTTGATTCCCTAACCTTAGAATGCCGAGTTTAGTGCTAACAACTGAACCATGCTTGACTGAACATCTTGATACATGCAGACAATTTCAGAAGTTCAATATGAACCAACATTCTTTAGTTACTAGAACTTATTTTAAAATGGTTATTTAAGATTAAAATCAGTAACAGTGAAAGAAGAAATAATTCAGAAGACCCCAAATAACTTTACAAGATTATTTTTGAAGTATATCCAGTTTCATGTAAGAAAATGTGGCAAATAATTAGCAGACAGCAAAACCCCATAAACTCAAATACATGAAAGTTGACAGTTTGAGGGGGAGCTGGAAGAGAAATGCTGACACCTGGAGATCTCCTATCTGAATATTGTCTTATGGTTTTATGTAAAATATTCCACTTGAACAAGTAATCTTAGAATGACAGCTCATCAAAGAGACTGACAACTGTAGCAGCACTCATTCTGTAGTGTACTAGTCTCAGTGTATATTGTTTATTGAAGTATGGTACATGGTAATAATAGTCAACTAATTGCTTTGGAGAAGCTTTCAAGAATGCAATGACATTGATCCTTATATAGTCAATAGCTTACTGAAGACACTGATCCTCTGAGTCAATCACTGACTGAAAGGTAATATTATCAACTAAGTACATAAAAGGGCTTTACTCAGTTCTTGTTGGTGGTCAGCACTAAAAATTAAACTTTAAACAATAGCATTTCTGTGCCCTCAATGCAAAGACAGAAAGAGATCAATTTTTCAGTGGAAGCGCTTTTCTGTTGCGTTTTCAATAGCTTGAGATAGTGCTGCTTTTAAGCAAGTCACCAGTTATAACCCAAGAGTTCAAGACTGTAAAGGGCTAATACCAAATCTGAGATACAGGGTATCAAATCTCTCAATTCTGAAGTTAATGCTCCATATAACTGGAGGATTATTTTCATAAATTACAAGTTTACCTCAAAAGAGATGATGGATCATTTGAGATTGAAAATAAACTTCTGCAATCCAATCCTTTTGGAATTAGAAAGGAATATGAAGCTTAAATGGTTCTGATATTTACAATGATTAAATAAATGATTTTAAAACTTCTCTATAGATCCAGCAAATGTACTGTGTTTCAGATCTGTATTGTTCTCATTATGTCAAAATGAAATTCCCTCTTTAGAAAGTGGTTGTCTTAAGACCTGTACCTCTAATTACATACATAAACTTAAACTACCATATACCACCTCCCCTCCACCCCACTATTCCCAACTCCACAGTATCCTGAAAATGCAAGAATCCCAATAGAAGGGGAAGACTTTAGCTACAAAATGACCTGGTAGGAGTGGAGCATTCTCCAGGTGCAGGTTAAGGAGTTGCTTGCCTTTTAAAGCCACTGCTGCCACAGAGGGGGCACTGGAAGTTGGGGTCTCTCCCATGTGACTTTTCTTGTGGCCTATCAGATGGTTGTGGGACTGACACTGCAGGCCGCACTGATCACACACAAATCTTTGAGACTTGTAATGGACACCATGGTGATTTCGAGCATGGACCCGAAGGTAGGCAGCGGTGGTAAAACCTACACAAAAATAGGGATTTCAGGTGATAAAGATAAGCACAAACACCTCTGGGACATTAAAAGTCTGATTGATTTTGTTCAGACAAAAATCAAATTTAACACTCTTCATCACAAGACATTTAAAGATTCCACTAATGAACCTTATATTGCAATCTGAAATACAAAATTATGTGCAACATTCTTTAGAATCCTTATTCAATTGGTTGCATAAAAAAAAGCATTATCAGCTATTACCAAATATTTCCTTCATTAAATTGCACAATACAGCAGCGCAATCATTTTGATTTAAAATGGAATCCGCGATAACCTTTTTAGGAAAGCATATACAACGGTCATGCAACAATTGCACGCTACATCAAAATTTACTGATTCTGAACTAGGAAACTGGGGAGGGTTGGAGAGAAAAATGGCTAGCAATCCCACTCTTGATTAACAGTTGACTGTCAAGATGCCAGGAGGAGATAGAATTGGGCTCAAGTGCAATGTCTGGCACAACTTAGCAGCCTACTGAGGCACTGAACTTCCAAGTTCATATAAGAAGAATGACCATTTGGAAAATATGTCAGATGGTATGCGTGGAATTATACCCTAATAAAAGTTAATGTCATCTGTGGCAAATAAGGCAGAAGCTTGAAAAAAATAATCTGCAAATTACAACTTAATAATGTAAGGGGCATTACCAAAAGGGGGAACAATCCCATAACTGGGATCTGAATGCAACAGTAAAAATACATGCGAAGGAACAAAATAAATAAATTAAGCCCTTTGTGGACTTAAAACAGGTTAAAAATAATTATAATGGAGGAATGAGACTCATTTGATAAATGTTAAGGCCTGATGATTTTAGGTGGGAAAATTTAAATTGTATTTGTAATAATGTTCCAAACCTTCCTAGTTTTGATTGGAAAATTCCTCCGTTATTTAGGATTGAAGGAGAAGTAAACTTGAGCAAGAGGGATCCGTCAGTTTTACATTGGTATTAGGGAAGTGAGTATAATTCATTAGAGACGGAGTGATTGAATTTTTAAGACAAGTACCATCTGATCAAAGAGTCAGCATGACGGAGGAAATTTGGTTCCCTCAATAACTCTCCAGTCTTCCCTTCAAGTTGCCATTCTTCATACTTTAGGGCAGAGAAGCGAATAGGGACAGGTTATCAAACTGTGATGGGTACATACTTGCAAACTTTACAGAGCAGCACACTGAATATCTATCAAGAGCAGGAACGCTGACTAATACATTTTTCTTTCTTCTTCCCTAGTTTTAGTACACATTAAGACCTACAAAATTAAACGTATGGTTAGCTAATTCAGCAGTAAGAACAGAAATAACTTAGGAATTTCTTGATTTGCATGATTTCATAACATCAAATGATACGTTTAAGCACTAGGCTCTGCTAGCTGCAAACATATCTTAACCTGCCAGGTGCAGTATTAGTAAAGAATGATTTTGCGGACAGGACTTTTACACTTGAAATTGCAAGACAAACTTAATAGGTATATGGGACAGGGATAGAGAACAGACTTTATTTATAAAAAAAAACACTTCTCTCCTAATGCTCACTTCTGATCATTCATGTTAAGAGAAAAGATGCTTTGGTTCAGATTTCAATCATCAGGATATTTAAATTTTTAAATCAAGTCAGCAAAGAACACAATTCAAGCAGAAACAACTTGGACATTGTCAGTGTTTCTTCTCAAAGATGGAAGTAAAATTGTTTGGCAAAAACAACACTTGCATTGTTTAAGTGAGAAGCAGCAACAGGTTTCCAAACTGAAACTTTCATGTCACCAGCTAAGCAGTCTATTGCTCATATCAGCACATTAGAATTTGTTTTGCAGAGGATGGGCAAGGAAGGAAGAGAAGGATTGTTTTTCTAGTTACACTCAACTTACTGCATAAAAAAGAAACTGCCTCCACTGTTAATTAAATCTATTCCAAATGTTTTCCATTTTACTAACACCTGACTGAAAGATGCCAGGAAACTGGTGGATAATAAAACTAATTACTGATGTCATAAGTGGCAATCTTAGAAGAAACAAGTTTATATTGTTTCTCTCCAAACTTCGTTTCACATCTTCCTGAATTATGCTTGTAAGACAGTGTAAAATATTCAGTTGGCTGAACTTGTGGCACAATGGTAGCATTTTCTGACTCCAGATCAGAAAGTTGCACATCAAATCATGTCCGGTTCATGGAGTTTTATTGGGACTTCCAATGGTGCACAGGTAGCATTCTTACTTCCGAGCCAGAAGGCCCAGGTTGAAGTTCCGCCTGCTCCAGTGATATGCCATAAAACAGCTGAACAGTTTCATTAGAAATATCCCAAATATTCAATTGGTATAGTGATTGATTAAAAAGTTCTCTGTATCAATTAGTGAGAGTTTATTGGGGCTCAATTTGTTTAAAGAAGCACCTCCATTACAGCTGTAAATATGGGTAATGTTTTAGCTTTTCTCAATTTAAACTGCTACAGTTTAATAGGTTGATTAACTGAGAAAACAGGTGATGAAAGCTTTCCTATAGTACAGAGATCTTCTGCTCAATTTAACAAACAGGGAAATAAATGTAGCACAAATTGTTTTTCACATTTTTTATACTTGTATGTTACTAATTAGACCACAAATGCATTTAAAGTTGTACTGAAATTCTGCAAAAAGAAAACCATACCTTTGTTACAAACATTGCAGTTGTGGTTTTGGTTGTGATTATGCATTTTGATGTGGTTGGAGATGTAAGCTGCACTCAGCAGTTTACCACAGATGTGGCAGGACACCTTCCCCTCGTGGCGTATCATGTGTGAACGCAGACGGTCTTTGGTGGCAAAAGCTGCATCACAGGTCTAGAAGGATACAAATAAGGCATCAACATTTCATTTTCTTAAATTATAATAACAGCTTTCTTTTCAAATTGAAATATTGACTAATTAGAAATGTCAGAATATATAACAGTCTGACCCACTGAATAATCCAATCATTTCATTTCTTTTTTTAAGGCAATTCATTTATACCTTGGACATAAAATTTAGCTCCAGAAATGACAATATACTCCATAGATATTCTTCAGAACTTGGCCAATGGGGCAAAAACAAATCCTTCCATTACTTCCACCAATTCTTCAGGACTCTGCACTTTCATGTACAGTACTGTGCATGCAAAAATCTTTGATCAATACATTGTGCAATGGATATGCAGAAAGTATTTAAAAGACAAGGCACAGGTGGGCACTTAAAGCATCAATTTTGCATTATGACAAATAACAATACAGCTCTATGCTTGCAATTTTCCCTCAAGGCCAGCTCCTCATCTAAATTACTTTGTCAGGGAGAAACAGAGCACATCAAAAGACGTATTTTGACAGACAGAAATAATAAAATGAAAAATGAGGTTAGTCCTCGGGGCTGATTAGAGTAGCACTGGCAGAACCCTGTGAGCAGCAAGACTCCATGATTAAAAATGAAAAAAGAAAGTGCTCAAGAAGCTCAGTAGGTGTGGCAGCATCTGTGATGAGAGAAATAGAATTAACATTGAGTCCAATAGCTCTTCTTTGAAACAGATCTTTCTTTCTTAAAGAAAGTGTGTGTCAATTTGGGATGCCACACTACTTTGGCACTTTTTCCAAGTCAGATGTGGTACACTCACTCAGTGCCACCACATTAAGTGCGTAGGGATGGGAATAAGTTATTCTGAGCCCTGAGCATGTTTTGCCATTCAATTATGTTATGGCTGATATGTCTGGCCTATCCAATCTACCCTCTTCCTTTCTGTAATTATCAATATACAGAGCAAATTGAATACAGCCAATTATCACTACGCACAAATACATATCAGATGAAATTCAACACTGAAAAATGTACAGTGACCTATGTTGTTTGGAAGATTAAAGAGAGAGAATGCATGCTAAAAAGTTTTAAATGTTTTAAGAACAGAAAGACTTGGGGTGCTTAAGCATAAATCTTTTAAAGGGGAAGGACAGATGAACAAGGAGGTGGTGGCACAGAGGAAATATCACTGGACCCGTAATCCAGAGGCCCAGATTAATGCTCTGGGGACAGTGGTCCAAAACCCATCACACCAACTAGAATTTAAAGTCAATGATTAATAAATCTCTAATATAAAGCTAATGCTGGTAATGTTGCTATGAAAACACCATCAACTGTTGTTAAATGGCTCACTAAAGGCCTTCAGAGGCAGAAATCGGTCTTCCTCACTTGCTCTGGCCGAAAATGGCCCTAAACCACAGCAATGTGGTTGACTCTTGACTGTCCTCAAATGACCTAGCAAGACATTCAGTTCAACAACACGTAGGGATTGGCAACAGTCACCAGCAATCAACGCCAACATCCAATGAAAGAATTAAGAAAACAGGATCTTGGGCTTTATAAATAGAGGTTTAGAGTACTAGGAAACAATGCTCAGCATATGAAGCAGCAGTTTTGCCCCAGTTAAAGTATTACAGCTAAATCCGAGCACCACACTTCAGGAAGGTTTTAAAGGCTTTGGAGAGAATTTACAAGAACTGTTCCAGCCATTACAAGTCACATGGATGAACTGAAGATTGTGCTGTTCTCCTGACAACAGAAAAGCCTGAATGGAGAATTGATAGAAGTGTTTAAAATCATGAAGGGCTGGGATAAAGTTTGGACAAAATGGTTCCCAAAGATTGACGGGCTGATAATCAGACAGCACAGACTTAACATGATTGTAAAAGACGCAAAGGCAAAGGCAAAGGCAACATGCAAAAAAATCTTTACACATTGGTTAATGTTTGGAGTGCGCTAAGAAAGGTGGAAAATACAGATTCAACAGCAGCCTTCAGATGGAGTTGCATAAATACTAGAAGAAGAAGAAAATTGTGGAGTTACAAGTGAAAAATAAGAGCTGGGCTTTTCAAAACTGGCTGCACAGATGTACAGTCAATGAGTCATACAGCACAGAAACAGACCCTTCAGTCCAACTTGTTCATGCCAACGAGACATCCCAATCTGATCTAGTCCCATTTGCCAGCATTTGGCCCATATCCCTCTTAAACCCTTCCTATTCATATATCCATCCAGATGTCTTTTAAATGTTGTAATTGTACCAGTTTCCACCACTTCCTCAGGCAGTTCGTTCCATATCTGCACCACCCTGTGCATGAAAAAGTTACTCCTTAGGTCCCCTTTTAAATCTTTCCTTTTCACCTTAAACCAATGCCCTCTAGTTCTGGACTCATCCATCCTAAGAAAAAGATCCTCGGCTATTCACCCTATCCAGGCTCATGATTTTATAAACCTCTATAAAAGGTCACCCTCAGGCTCCGATGCTCTGTGGAAGAAAGCGCCAGCCTATTCAGCCTTTCCCTATAACTCAACCCTCCAGTCCCGGCAAAATCCTTTTCTGCACAAGCACACTCACCCTTGTAAATCTTTTCTGCACCTTCTCAAGTTTAACAATATCTTTCCTACAGAAGGGCAATCAGAATAGTATGCAGTATTCTAGCAGTGGCCTCACCAATGTCCTTTATATATTACATGATATCCCGACTCATATACTCAATTGTTCTTATCAATGAAGGCAAGTGAGCCAAATTCCTTCCTCACCATCTGGTCTACCTGTGACTCCACTTTCAAGGAACTAGGTCTATTTGTTCAGCAACTACCGCCAGGGCCCACTATTAAGTGTTCCAGTCCTGCCCTGGTTTTCTTTACCAAAATGCAACACCTCACATTTATCCAAGTTAAACCCCATGTGTCACTCCTCGGCCCAGTGGCCCATCTGATCAAGGTCCCGTTGTACTCAGATAACGTTCTTCGCTATCCACTACACTGCCTATTTTGGTGTCATCTGCAAATGTACTAACCAAGCCTCCTACAATCACATTCAAATCATTTATATAAGTGACGAAAAGCAGCAGTCCCAGGTCTGATCCTTGTGGCATATTGCTGGTCACAGGCCTCCAGTCCAAAAAGCAACCCTCTGCCACCACCCTCTGTCTCCTACCTTCAATCCAATTTTTTATCCAATTGGCTGTATCCTGTGTGATCCAATCTTACTAACCTGTCTACCCTTAATGGGCAACTTTGCTATTCTGTTTTATTTTAGATTTTATCCATTCTTAAACTATAACCTAAATCTCAGGCCAAGAAGTTTCAATTGACTTAGCCTCAACAGATTTCTAGAACTGAGTGAAGAAACACTTTCTGACATAATTTCACAATTTCAGCATTGCTCTAAGTTTACAGATTATGTCCTTTATTCCGGACACCCGCATGGATGAGTTATTGTTTCCATCCTATGGCAATCGAGGAAATTACAAAGCTAGTCAAGGACAAAGCCATTCAAAGCAGAAATTACAACTTTTCAGTTCACACACTGATGTTCTAAGAACTAATGCCAGCTGAGTAGCTCTCTTAACAGTATGGAAACTAAAACAAAAATGTCCAAATGCAAGACATTTGTCCAAGATGTCCAAAAGACAAGACATAGACCAGAACTGCAAATATGAAAAAAAATTAAAAAAATATTCTGACTTTATTGGGCAGTGTAGTGCTTAACACTATTCTTTGTCTTACATTCTTTCCTTTCTCCTTTATGCAATTTAGGCTGGTGAAAGACATTCATTACAGTTCATTTTCTCTCCTTTCTCAAATCACTCTCACCTCAAAAAAATCTTTAGGGCTTTGGAATCAGGAAAAAGTAAATCTCAAAATGTCACTTACCTACAAATTCACAATAATATCCAGTTGTTTTATTCTCCTTCCCATTTAAAACTCAAGATTGCTCCACCAAACATATCACCATTGCAATTGCAAGTCACATGTTTGTTTAGTCTGTGTTTATAAAGTCTTACCCCTACTATACAAAGCTATTAACAAAACAATTTGGACTAACATTGCTCACAAACCCAATTTAAAGGTATGCAACTTTGTCTATTTTTTCCCCCTCAAACAGAAAGTACATTATAGGTCAAAAAAGCAAAGCAAGTAATTCTGGTTCCTACCCAACAAAAGGTGCTCACGAGATTTTTGGACATGTAATATTCATCTCGACTTGAATTTGAAGGCTAAAGGTGGGCCTTTAATAAAAATGAAGAAACTCAGCAGGTCTGGAGAAACTCAGTTAATGTTGAGTCCAATGACGGAACTGAAGGGGATGCAAAATGGTAGGTTTTATGATTGCAAAGAGGAGGAGGAAGGAGCGAGTGGAACAAATATCAAAGCTATCTTTCAGTTCCAAAGCAAATCATATTGGACTCAATGTTAATTCTTTCTTTCCACAGATGCTGTCAGAGTGAGTTTCCCCAACACTTTTCATTTCTGATTTCCAGTTTCCATAGTACTCAGGTGAACGTTTCCTGCACACCTCAAATAGACTGCCAGGTCACAGGAGCAGCTGCACTGGAGTACTTGCTGAAGGACCATTCCATCCTCTTTCAATAAGCACTGTAGATGTACCCAGGAAGAAAATTACACAAAGTGTTTTGGAAATCTTGACATTTTTGAAAATAACAAACTTTGAACAATAATCCATGTGAACACCACTTAACTGGCTTCAAAACAGAAAAATAGAGAGTTACTTGGCATTTGAAGGGTCTCTCTGTGGAATGAACATGCTTGACATGACAGCTCAGATGATCAGGCCTGGAGCGGAAAGAAAGGTCATGGGTTAGCTCGAAACAGAAGAAATATTTTCATTTTATTATTA